ACAGAGAGAGAGAGAGAGAGAGAGAAGAGAGAGAGAGAGAGAGAGAGAGAGAGAGAGAGAGAGAGAGAGAGAGAGAGAGAGAGAGAAGGGAAAGAGAGAGAGAGAGAGAGAGAGAGAGAGAGAGAGAGAAAGGGAAAGAGAGAGACACAGAGAGAGAGAGAGAGAGAGAGAATCTACATAAAGATAAAAGAAAAAAATTGAGTGAAAAAGAGAGAGACAGCCAGACTAACACAAAGTCAAGGCACCAAACACGGTGGGGATAAAATCGCGCAACAAAACAAACACAAACACAAAACGATACCTATATTAAGAGAAGAAAAACAACAACAACTTACAAAAACGCAAATAAAAGCAAAGAAAAAAACAGAAAAAAGCAGAAAGACTAAAAAGAAAAAAAAATCGAGCGAGCGAGTTAGCCTTCCGTGTGGTCCTCACATCAGGCTCATAAAAGAGTCATTAACAGATATCAAATTCATCGCGTGAGGAAAGACGCGGTGCCGACGCCCGTCTCCGCCCGCGAGGATAAGCCTTTGTTTCCACTTCTTTTGAGCTTTTTATTTATTTATGTATGTGTGTGTGTGTGTGTGTGTGTGTGTGTGCGTGTGTGTGTGTACGTGTGTGTGTGTGTGTGTGTATACAGTGGCGTAGATAGAGTGGGGGTCAGGGGGTGGGAGGAAACCCCCCACTCTAGAGCTAAACTGACATTTTGTCGGAAAATTGCTAATCTTGTCGGAAAATAAGCATGAAGAGACGAAAATGCTTATTAAATTTTTGTCGAAAAATCTGCTTTTCTCGCTCCCCCTATAAAAGTTCCTATCTACGCCACTGTATATATATATATATATATATATATATATATATATATATATATATATATATATATATATATATATATATATATATATATATATGTATATATATATGTATATGTATGTATATATATATAGATACATATATGTGATATATGTATATATATGCATATATATATATATATATATATATATATATATATATATATATATATATATATATATATATATATATATATATGCATCTACATATATATGTGTATATATATGTATATATATATGTATATAGATAGATAGATAGATAGATATTGATTTATGTATGTATGTACATAAACACACATGTACTTTTTTCAAGCTATTCTTTCCCCTAACCCTTTTTCGTTTTTCCTTATAACGAAAACCCTAATAATGACCTACAAACGCCTTTACTTCTTTTCTTAACTTCTCATTTCCCCATTTCACCAAACACAACTTCCTTTCATCTAAGTTTAATAACCAACCCTAATTACAATTAATTACCTGTTCTACCAAAGTTACCCGTTCTACCAAATTACCTTCTTGGATCAATAACATTCGCGAAAAAGTACCTCACAAGAGACACCGTTTCGCCGTGGCTGGCTCCCAGGACGCCGCCCGAACAAGGTTAACAAAGGCTGAGAACTTTTAAGTGAGTAAAGTGCTGAAAATCATCTTAAATAAGGGTTACCTCCACTTTCCCGCCCGTTCTCATGTATTTTCGGAAAAGGAGATAAGTGGCAAGTTTGCGGAAGAAAGAGAGAGAGTGAGAGAGAAACGAGTGATTTTGTTTCGTTTCAAGTAGTTGGAGAAAGAGACGGAATAGAGGAGAATGAAAAAAAAAACGAGTTATTTTGTTTCGTTTCAAATAGTCGGAGAAATAGAGGGAATAGAGGAGAATGAGAAAATGATGATAACTATACCCATAATAACAAAAATAATTAAGAATGTGAAATAATGATAATGTTTATAATGCTAACAATTAAGATTATGATGATAATTATATCGTAGAAACAGTAATAGGAACAGCAATCCAATTAATTGTAATATTAGTATTAATAAGGATGATAACAATGATTATCATTAATGATTATTTATAATAATGATAATGATAATAAGAATTATCTATAACAATAGTGATGATAATAATGATAGTAATAATAATAATAATCGTAATAATAATAGTAATAACAATCCTAATAATAATAAAGACAAAAATCATCATCATCATAAAAATGATTATAGTGATAACAATGATAATAAAGAAAATAATGATGATAATTATAATAATGGTGATCATAATAATATCAGTAATAGTAATAATAATACTAATGCTAATAACAAAAAAAACAAGAATAATAATGATAACAATAATAACATCAATAATAAAAAAATAAATGATAATAGTAATGATAATAATAATAATGATAATAATAATAATAACAATAATTGTTATTATTATGATAATGATAATTACAATGATAATAATGTTGATAAAAACATTAAAAAAATAATAATGATGATAAGAATAATAATAATAATACTGGCATTGTGATAATGGTAATGATAATAGTGAAAATAATAATAATAATGATAATAATAATAATAGTAATGATAATGAAAATAAGTATGGCAATAATAATCATAACCATATTCATAATAATGATAACAGTAATAATGATACTACTACTACTACTACTACTAATAATAATAATAATAATAAGAAGAAGAAGGGTGATAACAATCATTATAATAATAATAATGATAGTATTAATAGGGATAATGATAATAATAATGATGATAATAATGATAGTAATAATAAAAATAATAGTTTTAATGATAATGGTACTACCACTAATACTACTACTACTAGTAGTACTACTACTACTACTAATGGTAATAATAATAATTACAACGATAATAATGATAATGATGACAATAGTAACACTAATGATAATAATGATAATGATTATGATGATAATTATAATAGTAATAAAGATAACAATAATAGTAATAATAACAATAATAATAATATCAACAACAACAACAACAATAATAATAGTAATAATAATAATGATAATAATAATAGTAGTAGTAATAATAATAATAATAATAATAATAATAATAATAATAATAATAATGATAATAACAATAATAGTAATAATAATGATAGCAATAATAACAAAAATGGCTTTGATGATAATAATAACAATGCTGTTACTACTACTACTACTACTACTACTACTACTATTACTACTGATAATGATAATAATGACAAAAAATAACAACAATGACAACAACACAAACAATAAGAATATCGATAATTACAATAACTATAATCATAAAGTGATAACAACCTTTACAATAATTACAGCAATAACAATCACGATAAAAACTGCCCCTCGAAAACCATTGCAAGAGTAATATAGTAATAGCAATGATATAAAACACCACCAATGCAGTAAAAGCGGTGAGTTTAGTTCTCGAGCCTGATACTCGCGTTTTCTTGGATACACTATAACCTTGCATCTCCCCTGCGTAGCCTCAGCATGACTTTATGCCTTTAAATATCTCTATGTATCTTTATATCTTTACCTTTTTTTTTTACATGTTTTGATTTTTTTTGTATGTGTGTGTGTGCTTTTCTTTCTTGATTTGTGTTTGTGTTTATATTGTAGGCTGTGTTATATCATTATATGTTATCTTTATGTTTGTTTACTTCGATTGTTTGGCCTGATATGTTTTGTTTTGTTTTTGTGTTTTTTTGCTTTTCAATCATTTTCTTCCTTCTTCCTTTATTTTGTTCCGAGTATTTCTTTCCGTTTTTTTTTTTTTTTTTTTTTTTTTGCTTCCCTCTTCCCCCTTTTCTCTCTATATTCACCTCACCCTTCCCTCTCTCTCTCCACCCCTCTCTCGTCTCTCGTCGTTTCTCGGTCTTCCCTCGTCCCTTCCCCTCCCCTTGCCTCCCTCTCTTCTCTGCACTATTCTTCCTTCTTTCTCCTCTCTTCCATCTTCTATCACTGCTCTTGCCCTTTACCTATCCCTCCCCTTCCCTCTTCCTCCCTCTCTATCTCTCCCATTCGTTCTCCCCCCTCTCCTCTGCCCATCTATTCACGTTTCCCGCATTCACCACCTTTACCACGCCTCCCTCTCTTCTCTCCCACTCCCCTTGCTACCCAACTCCTTCCCCTCTACATACCCCATTCTCAGCTCCCCTTCCCCCCCTCTCCCTCTCCCCTGTACACTCCCCTTCCCCATCTCCCTGCCATCCCTCCCTTCCCCTTTCCGCCTCCCCACCTCCCCCCCCCCCCTGATGATGACGCGGCGCCCTGGCTTCGCGTCCCTGTGCTTGGGCTCCCCTGGGCGCCGCTGTCTCTCCTGACGGCGGTTCAGGCGCATTTCTTGCGTTTAAACTTTCTAGGCTATATATATATATATATATATATATATATATATATATATATATATATATATATATATATATATATGTGTGTGTGTGTGTGTATATATATATATATATATATATATATATATATATATATATATATATATATATGTATATATATATGTATATGTATATATATGTTTATATATATACACATATATACACACACATTTACATATGTGTGTGTGAAGATAAATTTATAGATGGACACACACTCAAGCACATATGTGCATATTACCTGTAGAAATACGACATTTGCCATAGATTCCATTTAACTTCGTCGTCAGTGCCTACTGGTGCCTACGAGTATCTCACGGAATTCTGATTTTCGTTTCTCGCACAGTCCTGGCTATTCATTTACTGTATGTTATTTGGTTATCACTTTAGAAATGTTTCGTTGGCATTTAACTTATCTTTATTGGTCATTGTCTTTATGCTGCCCATGTAAAAGCTCCCCAAAGCGTCCCTTCCACTTACTCCGTCGCCTCCGCCAGCGCCTTCGAAACAAGCACACGGCCGAAAGCGTTGCCAGCGCGACGCCCCCCCCGAACGCGCCCTAAAAGTGTGCCAGTTATTCCACAGCCGAGGCCTTTCGACAGACGTGTCCCCAAAGGCTCACCTGAAGGAGTCTTGACCCGGAGCGAGTGTGTTTGTAGGTGAGGCCCAGGCGGCGTGGGCCTGTGGGTGGCGGTGGGTGGCAAGGATGGGTGGGTGTGGGCGGCCAGAGCGAG